GCTGAGAGCTGAGAGACGCCGCATCCCCCACATTTAAACTGGAAGTCCCATAAGTACCGGAACCTCTGCCGGAAAAGACCCGCTGTCTCAGGAACGCTTAACCCGGCGACTGAGAGCGAGCGACCCGCGGCGTGCTTTCCCGGGAAGCGAAGTCAGTGTGGAATCGTGCATGTTTAGAATTGCGGAGCTGTAACAGCTCGCGCTCCGGTGCTCAGTGTGACTGTGCGCTTCATTACCGGGCTGGAGGGGAGAAAAGGCTCGGAGGCGAAGAGGCGCCCGCGGAAACACAAGCCCCGCCGGGCAGGCGCTGAATCCTGCAGCTCCGCGCCCGGGCCTTGCTCGTCGCCTGCAGCCTCCCTCGGCAGATGCTGCGCACTGCTGCACCTCCGGCTTCCTGGGGTCTCCACTGCGCGTGTGGCTTCATGCTCACCGCTTTGTGTGTGACTGTCTCGGGGCCGCGTGGTCTGACCTCCCAGGCGGTCCTTTGAAAGCTGGCGGGAGCTTGTATGCACCCACAACCCTTGTATGCTTCCAGCCTGAAAACCATGAGCGCATGGGTGGTTGAACTTGAGGATACTCTTCCCAAGGTGCCTCTGCGTGAGCGGACAACGGTGGGGGTCGCTTCAGAAAGAAAACTTTTAAATGAGTTTACCTTTTTATGCACTTGAGCTCAGTGGGGTCTGACCAATTCCTGGGAAACTCTGACAGACATCTTTTTTCCTTTTGTATCAGTCAGGGATTTTTTTTTTTCAGTGCCACTACTGTTTTCAGCAACTACACTCTGCTTGGCCCTAACCTTACGGATGCTTACACTGTGATCTTTGAAATACGCTTTCTTGGCAGGGTGGCACTGCAGATTGAATCCAGAACCCAGAACCTTCACACTGAGCTGCATCTCCAGTGTTTTTCTATTATTATTTTTGACAGAGGACCTCACAAAGTCACTAAGTTGCCCAGGATGGGCTCAAATGTGCAATCCCCCTGCCACAGCCGCCCAAGTGCTGGCATTACAGGTCAATTCTGCTCTTTACTCCTGATTTTCGTGATAAATCTGGCTAAAGCAGCCAGTAGTAACCGACAGCCTGAACTTTGAGCTGCCTTGAATTTTTTTTCAGCTAGATTGTTTAGTCTGCCATTCTTAAATTCATCCACACATAGTTTTAGGACATGGACAAAAAGGACAAAATGTATACAAATTCTTTGCCAAAATGTAACATAAATGGTCCCTGTCCAAGTTCAGTACAAGCCTCATTGTTATCTGAAAGCTGATGAGCTTGGCCTTTACTGTCTGCGTTCCTATCAGCATTCCAGAGTTTCTACTGGAATCGCCCATCAGGTTCATTTCATCGCGTTGTGAGGCTTCTCAGACATGCATCTCCATACCCTTCCAAACACTTTCTAAAAACCAGTTCCAAAGATTTTTGAGCTGTGTGGTTAGACACAATCACAGCAGCAACCCCACTCTTGGTACCAATTTTCTGTATTAGTAATTTTCATATTGAGATGAAAGACTCACAACCTGCAGCTTTGGCACACACTTTCAAGGAGTTCAGTTCTTACGTGGTCAGCTGATTCTAAGGCAGAAACTGCATGGTGCAGGGCATGGTGCAAGAGAGCTGCTCACTCCATGGCTGCCAGCAAGCACAGAAAAGATGGAAGAGCCCTTGAAGGGCATGGCCCCAGCCACCACCTTCCCTAACGGGCCTCACTGCCTGAACAGCACATGCATCTAGGAACTCATCGTTAAATTAGTGTCCTGATGAGTGCAGCTTTCCCATGACTCAGAGACCTTCCAAAAGCCCCACTTCAGGACACAGGAGATTTGGGGGGAACTTTCTGAAAGCAAATATTTGATCAACACTTCTTAGCCTCTACTCAGATTTCCATAACTTTCACAGAGAAGTTGTGTTTCCCAAAATGGTGTATTTAATTATTGTGATAAGATTCTTAGTTACCTCTCTGGTCTCAGCTCCACCAATTTCATAAGCTTGTCCTTAAAAAATTACGTATGAGTCCCAGTGGGCTCCCTAATCCAATGTTCATCAGTCTAACTTTTCTTTGTTATGAAAACTTTGGGAAACACTTGAAATATAGAAGGATATCAATAAGTAACCCATTATTTTAATTTTTAAAGTATTTTAACATATATTTTCAGAGGAATTTCCTAAATGTGCCTTCTATTCTCTCTTTTAATTTAAATTCTTTAAATGCCTCTCACATTGGCTTAAATTTTTTTAAATTATGATGCTAAGGGGCTGGGGATTTAGCTCAGCGGCAAAAGCGCCTGCCTGGCAAGCGCAAGATCGTGAGTTCGGTTCCCGGTACCGGAGAAAAACCAAAAAA